AGACGCTTGAATTTTGAGCCCCAAAATTCTTTATTTTTAAATCCAGCAACTACATTTCAAAGCTGCCAATGTCAATATTAAAGGGCAAACAATTATTTTTTTTTTTTTTTTTTTTTTTTTTTTTTTTTTTTTTTTTTTTTTTCCCAAGGGCTAGCGTAGCTTTGTCGTTTCTAAAGTCTTTGAACCTGCTGAGCAAATTTCTTCAGGGAATGTCTGCGCACATAGTGCTTTTTGATGAATAATACAATGGTAAGTATCTCGTTATTAATTTTTTCAATTTCAATTAATTAAGGTTTTTAGTTAAGATAAAAAAAGTCAATGGCACGAGCAAAATTCGAACCCACAATCTTCAGCTAAATACACCGCTGCTCTTCCACTTGAGCTATCGTGCCTTCGATCCACTCAGACACTAACTTCCCACCGCAACCCCACCTTTTTGAATTTACCCTCCTTTTTGCCATTTTTCAAATGTCGTGTAATCGGATTGGATTCTCAACGACAAATGAAATGGCCAAGGAGAGCTTTAATGAAGTATACTTCATTTTAGATCATTAAATTCACTAATTTCGTGGTTCACTTGATCAATTAATATATTACAATTAATTAAGGTTTTTAGTTGCAATAAAAAACGTTTGAAAAATGGCAAAAAGGAGGGGTTGAGGTGGGAAGTTAGTGTCTGAGTGGATCAAGTTCACGATAGCTCAAGTGGAAGAGCAGCGGTGTATTTAGCCGAAGATCGTGGGTTCGAATCCCGCTCGTGCCATTGACTTTTTATCTCAACTAAAAATTTTAATTAATTGTAATATATTAATTGGTCAAACGGACCACGGAATTAGTGAATTGAATGAAATTAATTTTTTCTTTAAAAATAGCGACAATCCCATTTCTTGCACCGTCATACTTTTCGCTCCGTGTCTGCACTAAACATTTAGTGTAGGGAAAGAATCGCAGCCAAGAAGTCAAAGAGCCGCATGGGCTCGCAAACCACGATTTGCCGACCACTGTCTAGCCCAATACCCTTTCATACTGAGCCCCTCGACAATCTTGTTAGAACCTAAAGCACCAATAGCCTTATGATTTCCATCCTAGTGAGGTTTTGTGTTAGGTCTGTAAATGATGGATTCTTACTCTTAAAATGTTATAATATAAAACTCATTAAGACAGCAAATTCTCTAGTGCTTTGTAACATTATAATAAAATTAAAAAAATTATGTACAAAAATTGATAACTAGTCTTGAAAGGTAAATTTTCTTGATTTTCTTCAGATCATGCGGCTTTTATATTTTGTGGCGGACCCATTTTCGCTCTTGGCTGGGCTCCTGGGAACAACAGGCAGTTCCTGGCGATTGGGGCTCACCTGTCAATGTCCGATTTCTACCAAGTGTCTTCCACCTGTTCTGGTCCCGGAAACATCCAGATTTGGTCGTTCGGAGATCTGGCGAACACCAAGTGAGTCACTCGATATAAATTCACTTTTTTTGTAATCACAATAATTTATTTTTAGGCAAACTTCATTCGTGGGTACGAGGCTTGAATATTTAATATGTCACGACTTCGGTGGCGCATGGGCATTGGAGTGGTGTCCAGTCGGATGCCAGAATGACAAAAGAATGGGCCTCCTTGCAGTGGCATCCGCCAGTGGTTCTATCCCATTGTTTTCGGTTCCTCAGCCAAAAGCCTCCAGTGAAATTAGGTATTTTTAAAAATTTATACGAATCAAATTAAAATTTACACAGCTTTTTATTTTTAGATTTCCTGCTTGTAAACCTCAGCCTGTTTTAATTTTAGAATTAGGACCTTATGAAAAATATCAGTGCACCAGAATAAGTTGGTCTAAAGTAAAACCTCACAGGTAAAAGTGGATTTTTGTTCTCCAACAGTTCAGATAATTTGTGATTTGGTTGTTACTGATCATTTTGGTTAGTCTATCAGAGGCGTTTCGGCATTTCACCATCTTCAGTACTGGGTTTGTAGTTAACCTAGGTAAAAACAAAATAAACAGGATGAGCCAAGTTACACAAAATACTGAAGAAGGCAAAATGCCGAAGCACATCTGACAGATAAGCCCAGCGAGGATAGGCATAAAATGATCAGTAACGACCAAATTGTAGGCTTATCACCCCGTAGACTACAAGACGAAATCTAACATGTTAGATAATTTTTAATAATCGACATTACAGGACGATAGCAGGTGGATTTGTCAATGGTTACATTGCACTTTGGGACCTCTTGTCAACCTCTTCTCTTCTGAGACGTGGAAAGATTCTTTATCCTTTTAAAGTATTTCAAGCGCACTATTCCATCATTACCGGCAAGTTTTTCATTTATCTTGTACCGTTTCATTATTATTATAATCTGTCAATTTTTTTAGGACTTATGTTTAGCCCAATGAGTGATACACACCTTGTCAGCTGTGCACATGATAAATTTTTGAAATACTGGGACTTGAAGGACACAACAGCTCCACAAAGCAAAAACTGGCGTAATTTATCTACAGATGTAACGTGGCTTCAACATTGGATGACCTGTGCTACAGCTGTAGATAATATTTATTCGTAGGTGTCCAAATATTTGACTCACTGATTCAGTCAATAGAGAAATTAAACCAGTTTTTATTTTATTTTTTTTTTCCAGGGCTGGAGAAAGCACAATGATTTTTAATAGTATTAGAGATTTTGTTTATGAACCTCAGTCATTTATTGCGAATGTTGATTCTTCAGCTTTGGTATGTATAATAAAATAGGTTTATGTAAATACTAAGTCAGTTATAAACTATTGGATTGTACAAGGCCTTAGCGTTTTTCAATAATTCAAATTTACCCTATTAGTGTTTTGAAAAACCGTTTATGTTTAGACACTCTGAAATTGGATTAGTTATGTTTATTCAACATTTTAATTCAAGATATCATATTTTTACAAGCTGTTTTGCTAATTTAAAACGGTGGAAGAAATAGTATATTTTCATCATTTTAATATATTTTTTTATTACTATAAAAGGTAGACTGCAGTTCAGACTATTAGGAAAATTAGTAATATGTATGTGGTAACAGTTTAGGAACAAACACTGTTCATCCATGGTTTCCTTGGTTCAGAAGCGGACGTCTTTATTTGGAAGACAAAGCTCGCTTGTGACCAAATTCTAGTTTTTGTCTAGTTTGACATGGAAGCAGAGCACTTAGCTTATCTATATAAACATTTTAAAGCATCCGAGAGAAGCTGGATATGTCTGTCAGAGTTGTATATTGACTAGGAAAATTTATTCTTAAATACAATGTAAATTTTTAAAAATATCGTTAGCTGGTATGAAAAGTTCAGAGATGAAATTCCTGGAGAAACCTACACACTATTTTATCAGGGGCAATAGTGAACCCTTTTGGAGATGCAGAGATCAAAAATAATACAAATTAAAAAATTAAATTAAAATAAATAAATAGATAATTCAGAAATCGTGAGATGCAGTCTGGTGTGATGTAGGTTTCAGAAAAACATTTTCTTTATAGTGCCAACGTTTCGATCTTTATTGAGATCAACTTCAGGGCCTGGGATTTATAAACATTGTTTAAATTGAACAAATACATGTAGGATATGGAAAAAATTGAATTTATATAATGCAAAAAAAAAATAAATTTTTTTTTTATATTCAGTCAAAGTATATTGGGGGCCGCGGTAGCCGAGTAGTTAGCGTGAGATACTCTCGGCTTGTAGATCCTGCAGTCGTGGGTTCGATTCCCACCATCTCCTCTGGCCTTTTTTTCACGCTACCCTTCCCCCCCTAAAAATGAATACGCATAATAACATTATCATTGGCTAATATGCTCAAAACATAAAGCCATTAAAGAAAAAAAAGAAAAGTATTTCTCTTCACTCAAAGCGTTTTGTTTTCTGCATAAGAGTGTCATTCTTGCATGTCGTGTTGAAAGTGCCAGTGAGATATCGCTGTTTTATGTTTATATACGTTGGATTTTGAAGGGGTGGGGAAGGAAGTCGGGATAGAAAAGACATTTTTGTATAAGGCATCGGCTTCTTTGAGGTGAAAAGAGCCGACAAAGGAAAAAACGTTGGCAATGGTTCGGCCAGATTATCCTTTCAGGATTTTATAGACGGGGATAAATAGGAAAAAGAAAGCTTAATTGTTGAAAAATTAGACTATGTAAAACTGTTTGATATGTGGAATGTGATGAATGTTTTATATGTTATATTATATGTTTTGTGTGATGTGATGATATATTTTTATGTATGTTATCTATATTGAATTTGATTAATGAGATTGGTGTAGCTGTGACTGAGTTTACATGTGTCTGTTCTGTAATTGATGCTGTGTTTATCTCTGTTGATGTCATAAATGAAACTTTTCAGAAATGGTTTACATCAACCGAGGTAAACACAGCATCAATTACAGAACAGACACATGTAAACTCAGTCGCAGATACGCCAATATCATTAATCAAATTCAATATAGATAACATACATATATCATCGAAACACATATTATAACATATAAAACATTCATCACATTCCACATATCAAACATTTTTACATAGTCTAATTTTTCAACAATGTAGCTTTCCTTTTCCTATTTATCCCTGTTTATATAATCCTGAAAGGATAATCTGGCCGAACTATTACCAACGTTTTTTCCCTTTTCACCTCAAAGAAGCCGACTCTTTATACAAAAATGTCTGTATACTCTCTTCCTTCCCCACCCCTTCAAAATCCAACATATATAAACATAAAACAGCAATATCTCACTGGCACTCTCAACATGACATGCAAGAATGGCACAATTACACAGAAAACTTTGAGTGAGTAGAAATACTTTGATTGAATATAAGAAATATATTTTTTTTTTTTTTCATTGTATAAATTCACTTTTTTCCACATCCTACATGTATTTGTTCAATTTAAACAATGTGTGTAAATCCCAGGCCCTGAAGATGATCTCAATAAAGATCGAAATGTTGGCACGATAAAGAAAATGTTTTTCTGAAACCTACATCACCCCAGACCTCATCTCACGATTTCTGAATAATTATCGACTAACGGTCACTAATCACCACACATAAATAAATAGAATTTAAAAAAATTCAGCATGGTAAATAAACCCTACAGACACTCAAACTCTGTACTTAGTGCAAAATTGAAGACGGTTCCCTTGCGCCATGAGATTCCTTGTGTAAGTTAAGTTTGACTGTTCACCTTATTTAATTCTTTACAAAAACCATACATATATACATTACCAGGAGTCGGAATTACAAAGTTAAATAAATAAACAAATACATAATAATAATAATATGCATATTTAAACAAAACAAAATTCTAATTGGTTACTATTTTAACTTATACAATATTACGCAAAGGCCTAGCAAACAAAAAATAAATAAATTTCTAAATTTCCTCTCTCAAGTTGATATTTCTTTAGAAAACAAAATCTCAAAGTCGATGATAAAATACCAAACAAAACAAACTGTTTCTACCAACTGGACCTTGCCGGAGAGCCTCATTGCATCATCCGTTCTCCTAGGTGCTACAATGTTCCAGGATGGGGAACGACAGTTTTCCACAATGGAAAAAAAGATATCCCTTGTTTCCTCGTTTTTTTTCTCACTCTCCCTCTTTTTTGCCTGTCTGGTCCTGTCTGCCCTCAGTAATCTACCACCATGTTTGTGCAGCCTTCACTGCCTCATCTCTTAATCCAGGTACAGCTTTAAGCTACAACTTCTATCACTGTCAGTCATAACAATTCCAAAAGCCAAATTACATCCCAAAAAGTAATATTGGGCATTTGGTGGAATTGGAAAGTAGTGTTTTATTATCAGTTTCTTCTGACCAACCAGACCGTAATTGTTGTGTATACTGCACAAAACTGGACTGATTAAAGTCAGCAATTTACCAAAAATTGCATAAGTGGATTCTTTTCCACCCGGGGGTCGATCCTATGGTTCTTTGCGCTCCAGACATTGTTGGAGCTTGGCTAGAATGGGCTATCCAATCCTATGTGACATTACCCCTTCATATTTTCTCTTATTCTGCGCTCTATAAAACTATTTATGGGCTAAACTTTATTTCACTTGAATACTGCAGCAAACACATTAAGGAGTTTGCTCAAAAACCTTCATTCATGGTGGACAAAATTATAAAATTACCTGGCAAATTGTAACAGATAGTGCAACAAAATGGTTCATTTATTGTTGATTAATTTTTTGTTTTTACACGAATTTGAAATTTTCACTAAATTTACTATAAAAAAAAAAAACTATGGACTCATTTAACTACTTCATATTTTACCGAAATGTAAAAATGCAGTAAAAAGTAAAAACGTCCACTTTTTATACTGGACTTTACTGTTTTGAGGTGCACCAATTACATTCAAAATTTGACAGCACATTCCTCAAATATAATTTTCAAAAGAAATAAATAAAGGGAAAAAATAAAGTTGAATTTAATTTAAAATTTATTTTGACAGACAATACGCAAAAAAAAAAAACTACCACCAAAGTCTGTTAAATATTGGATACAACCAATGTGTGTGAATGTCCAGCTATAGATCTTAAAATAGAAAAAAAAAAAACATGAGGATGAGATCACTGGGCCTGTAGAGTCTCGATGGGGATCAAAACCAATTTGCTTTTTTTTTTTTAAATTCTTAAACAAAATTCCAAATGTTTGAACCCACAACTGCTATTATGGCAAATATGAGTCAGATGCCCTAACCACATGGCCACTGCAGAACCTGAAATAGAAAAGAGTTATTAGAAATTACCTACAGCTTCTTAAATTACAGCCAATAATAAAAAATAACCCAATAGAAATTTTCCACAAAAAGTTTAGCTTTTTTCTAACATTTTTTAAAATTTTGTAGAGTATATCAGGAAATGATTGGTTAAACGCTGTGGCACTGTCTTACGACAATGGGCAAATCAATTTAGCTTTTGGAAGACGACAGCCTTTAGTCAGTCACGACGATCGCAAAAAATATATCAAGGTAAAATGTCACATTATCGAAAATTGACTAAATTTACATAACTCCATTAATTTTAGGTGGTAATGGAGCCTCACCTTTACAATTTTGAAGTCAAGGGTTATGAAAAGCAGACTAACATTGGAAAAGAGGGGAAAGAATGTGCACTAGTTGACTGTGTATCTTACGAAGAAGCTGTTGGCAAATATGGCATCCACTTTAAAACCGTGTGTGAAATTTGTTTTTATTTTTATTATATTTTATATTTTAGATGTTAAGTAACAAGGTTTTTTCTAGGATTTTAAAATGGGTTATAGAGAAGAACTTAAAGGAAATGCTCCTAACCATATCCATATCTATCCGCTGATAGCTGCAAATAAGGCAATTAATTTATAACTAATTAATTTTTTTATGCCAGTTATTATTAACTCACTATCAAAATTTCTAGGTGTGTTGGAATCCGAATATTAACGGATTTCTAAATTTGGCAATTGGTTACCAAAGTGGTTTTGTAATTGTTCCGAGACTCATATTTGCACCGCAAGATCAAGAGAAGATTGACGACGTGCTAAGTTGAAACTTGCCATGACCTTCTAATCAAGACTGGATGTTTGCTTAAATTTCTACGTGTACATATTTTTTATAATATTTGAAATTGAACAAAAATTTTGTATCAACTGTGATATTAAAGATACATGTTATTTGTGTTTTATACCAAAGAACAGAATAATTCTGTTTTCTCATTCCAAGCTGATGTTTTTGTGTTAAACAAAATGCGATTTTTTGTTGATTGCTTGGTAGGCAAATATTTGAAAACTGATCCGCTCTGGTTTGTCTTCTCTATCTCTATTTTCTATTTGTTAAGTTTGATCTGGTTGTACTCATCTATTTGTAATTTATATGAATGAAAAGAATACAAATGAAACTTAACTCAAATTAATAAATAAAAATGTGTTCTCATATAAATGATGTACAATAAAATTGTTGAATCGCTGAAGGCTGTATTTTCAAAAACAAGCTTAATTCTACCACCATAATGACAAATACAAAATAATTGCTTATGTTTTTATTCCATTACTGATCCACATTGTTGGTCAAAGACAAGATGTCAGTTTTTCAAACTATTCTTTAAGTTTGAGATTTCCTCATTGGGCCTGCAAGGTAATGATCCTTGTAGTTTGATATTTCTGATTATTCCTTGTCTGCCTATTCTCTCTCTCTCTCTTTCTCTCTCTCTCTTTCTCTCTCTCTCTTACTCTCTCTATCTCTCTCCCTCTCATTTGTTCATTCATTATCTCTCTCTTATTCATTCATTCATTCTCTCTCCCTCTCATTTGTTCATTCATTATTTCTCTCTCTCTTATTCATTCTCTCTCCCCTTCTCATTCATTCTCTCTCTCTCATTCATTCTCCCTCTCTCTTATTCATTCATTCTCTCTCTCTCTCTCTCTCTCTCTCTCTCTCTCTCTCTCTCTCTCTCCCCCCCTTTTTTTTTTCAGATGAGTTTTCCCTTAAGTTAAAAAACTGAAGATGGCTAGAAGCAGAATCAACGAGGATAGGCGTAAATGACAAAAACTAATGTTTTATTGTTAGACTTCCTTTTTAGTTAGTCTGCAGGGTGATGATCCTTGTATTACGGCATATTTTGGCCTTCCCGTCCTCACTGTTTTGGCATTTAACCAGCGTGTCTGAGTATTGTGACGCTCTAGACTGATATGGCCAGAAAGGGACCATTTGTGTGGATCAATGTTTCCCCACAATACAATAAAACCGAAAAATAACCTAGGGAAATAAAGTGGAATAGAAAGAAAAATTTATCTACACCCAACGCCTAAATCTACAAGCTAGCTCAGAGTACCCATCACCAAAATTCAATTAGAAACCAAAAATATTCTGCTATACAAATAAAAATTATATATTCTAAACCAAAATTAAAAGACCACACACATGTGAAAATTATCTATTTGACCTTAAGAGAATTGTTAGGGCCCTTCTATATAAGCCAACGTCTTGGGAACACCTGACCCTCAGTACCTCCCTTGTCACTCCCGCAATAAGGAGTCTGGCCTGGGGGGGGGTTGTCCTGCCCATAGCCAAGCCATTGTCAGCCCTTGAACTTTGAAGTCCTTCTGAATCTACCAACACTACATTTTTTTCCAGCAGAAGGCCGGAGTCGCAATTCATAGGATAATGCAAATTAAGAAGGGACACTCTCCTGAAGCTTCAGGGAGACAGGGTTTTGTTGATGACATGACTCTGAAATTCAGATTTGACAAAAAATTTAAATTAAAATGTCTGATAGAGCAGACTAGGACCATATCTGGTATAAAGATGGGTCCAAAACTGAATATGGTCCAGAGCTGGTATTTACGGACATAAACCAAGGACTGTTGATATAAGCCTTGGGCAATATAGCACTGTCTTTCAAGAAAAGACTGAGGCTGTTGAACTTGATGCCGATGAGATTAAAAGGCGAGTTATAGTTAACAGAAGAATCTACTTGGCCAGATGGCACTGAGGGCAATCACTGCATCGATGGCGAAGATCAGAGCCATTTGGGATTGCATGAAAGCTCTGTCAGACATTATAGAAAACAACAAAATTGCCCTTGTCTGGGTACCAGAGGACACAGGTAGGCAATGAAGAATCCAATAAATTGGCCAAGAAAAGTTCGATGAGGACACCTATTGGCCCTGAACCCTTTTGGGGCATACCAAACTGCCAAAAACGTTGATCCACCATCGATTGCAAAAACATTCATCAAAGGACCATCGCAGAAACTAACAGGGAATTACTAAATCAACGACTAGAATAATAGTTGGACTGCTAACTGGACCAGCAGACTCTGAAGGCATATTGCCCACGAATAATGGAATTTACTTCTTACTGAATGTAAGAACTATCTTTTAAAAAGGATGGAATTTACTTCCCCGGGAAGTAAGTTCTGCTTCCTTGCTGGCTGTTTCAGGACTTTCAGGTCCTTGTATCTTTGTTTTAAAAAACTACACAAAACATCTCCTTTTCTTTTGTCCCGTTTCATTTTACCTTTTTTCTCTTTCTACTTTTCTTTTGTGCTTTGTTTCATCATTTGATTATAAATAATTAATATTTTAAAGAACATATGATTGTTTTTTATTATATGTTTTATTGTTATTATTATTGCTATTAATTTATGCTGATGTATGTACACGTAAGTGGGCTTAAAGCGCTAGTTGTACGTAGTGGTGGTAAAAAAGTGGTATTTTTTTTGTTTGTTTTTTTTTTGTTCGGAGAAAGTCAATTGAGGCAAAGGTTAAGAACCGATTCATAGAATGCGCTCCGAACACCGTTCGTTCACGAACGATCTATTCCCACTGGAATGAATCAGTTCATTGAATTTTCAATGGAGGAAGAAAAACATTAAAATTATTTTTATTTATTTATTTTTACATGAGTAAACAGCGTAAATGCCAATAAACACTGAACCTATTATGAAGCAAACGATAAATTTACAAGAATATAAAATTTACAAATAAAAAACTTGTAGATAATTAACAATTTACAATTAATAGTAATATTAATGATTTAAGTATGATAATACAATAAAATTCTGATTAAAATAAACTGAATGAATAAAAAAGAGGGAATTTTTGATTGACGATTACTGTCAAGATTTAGTCTGAAGACGAGTGGTATTGAGTTGACATTTGAAGGCAGATTATTTAATTTTCTATGATATAGTTTGAGAACAATGTTGATCCAATTAAATTATGGTAAGTTTTATGCTATGGCCTCGTTTTTTTTGTTTTTTTTATAATGAAGTAGTGAGAAAAGTTGAGGTGAAAGGCCATTTTTATTTGTAAGAATCTTATAAGTTTTGATAAGAACTTTCTCTGATGTTGGAGAATTGTTAAATTTAAACATTTAAATCGGTCAAAACAGCTTTAATTTTTCAGAGGTTTTGATAAAGTTTTTGAATTTTTTCCACAAGTTTAAAGTCTTTTTGAAAGTATGGTCTCTAAACTACTACACGCAAACTCAAGTAGGTCAAACAGTAAAAAATTTTTTTTTGTATTTCAGAAGGTAATGGAAATATGCATTTAACTTAGTGCGCAAAAAAGCTTCGTTTTCTGTTAATGCCCAGGACATGGTATAAAGAATAAATAGGATAAATAGAATTGTACCAAGGACCGATCCTTGTTGACCTCTGCTAAGCACTGGACAGGAATTAGAATGTTTGACTTTAAAACTCCTGTCAGAGAAATTTCAAGAATTTTAGGAAATTACCATGGACCCCAAGACGTCCAGTTTGTAAATTAAAAGTGTAAGTGTGAGTTTTTACTTACTTTTGCTCTTAATGCGCTATTAAGGTAATAAATTGATTGTTAAATTTTAATCCAACACTAAAAGATTTTTTGGTGTTTTGGTGAATGTTTTTTCAAACCATCATAATTAAATAATTTTTATTAAAATTCATGAATTTCTGATCTTGTTTACTTTTATTTACATTAAATTAATACAATTAATGTAACAATAAAAATACATATTAAAAAAGTAATTAATAAAAAAGTAAAAACCAATGTTCTAAAAAAATTATTAACAAATGAAGAATAAAGAAAAAAATAATAATATTTATTTATTTAGGATCATAAAAACTAATATAAAACATGGGGGTTAGCTGAAGATTTGTTCAACAGAACTTTTATTAAAATACAAATTTACTATATTAGTGGGAAATCACACAAATGGCCCATAGGTACTATTTTTCTGCCAGAGTTCAACTTCTCCTAGGTGGTGGGAAGGAGTATTAAGCTGTAACGTTCTGGTATTTCTCAAGAGATTTTTTTTTTACAAACAACATACTTTAATAAAAAAAAAGAGTTATGATAGAGCAAGTACATCCATAAATTCAGTAGTTCAAAAGGATAGTTCTACCTACGAATCCAGATTTTGAACATGCTCATATTCATTATTACATGTAGAATACTTACATATTCTGATGATGAGCACTAACTACATGCTGGAAATTCTGCAGGACCAGGTTGTGCGTAGAACCATCCTTTTCAACTATTAAAAACATACTTTGGCATAAAATTTTAAGTTCTTTTAAAACTTTTTAAAATAAGCAGTGGCCTAGATTTTTTAATTGTGTTACTTTTATGCCTTGTGTTTCAAATATATAAAGCGGTTTAATAGGTTTAAAGAATAATTATTTTTCCCACAAGGCAAAGATGAATCGAAAAATATTTGTGTTAATATGTAGTAATGCATCACTGGTAAGTCTAGTTTTGGGTATGGTAAAAAAAAAACTTATGGACAAAATTAATTTTTTTGTAATTGAGGCATTTTGTGTACATTTTGCATATTTAGAAAGTTAAATAAAGTAAAACCACTATATATTGTATTTTTGTCAAATTTATGCAGGCCGTCAATTATGCAGGGTAAATTTTTACCAACTGGTTAACTTTTTTAAAATTTATTTCAAGATTTTTTCAAATATTAATAAATTATTATTTTTATGTAAGCTATATAATGTTTGTTTCATGTAATATTTTTTAAAAATATAATTGATGTTAAATTATTAAATTAACTTAATTAATTATTAATTTTAACCCCATCTTACCTGAGGGCTGGCCCAAAAAGGCAGAAATAACGCTTATTATTATTATCATTATTAATTATTTGGATCTGAATGGATTTTTGATCATTAAAAGATGATCATAGATGTTCATAGAAAACTGCCACTGTGGAGTTTATCGTTCACGAATCGTTCGTTCATGAACGACCGCTATAGTTCAGTAGTTAGTTGTGGTAGTTCTTTGTCGGGCTGTATACAACATACATTTTACTAATTGACAATTAACTTAGTTTTCTTCAAAAATGGAAACACGATTCATTTTGTGTAATGGAGCGATTTAATAATTGCCCTTGATCCTTCAGAGTGAGTCTAGTTTTTCTTTATTTTCCCTTCTTGTTTGGTTTACACTACATTCACTTTTTCACTTTATTTCCAGGAGATCAGGACCAAACATTCAAAGATACTTTTATACCATGACCGATTATTCTAGCAGAGCATGATGGCAGAAGATGTGGCGATTGTGTCGAAACGCAAGGCGCCAAAGGCCAAGGGTGTCTTCGGAACCGTAGACACCAAAAAGTTATGCGCTTTGAACCCCAACGAAAGAATTGATTTCACTAGTAAATTGAGCAATCCGGATGATGTCGTACGTTCATTGTGGCCTTTTTATAATATTTATTTTACCATTTTTCAGCTTCTGAATACAAAAGTTAAGATTCACTTCGAACCACTATCTTCACATAGCAAATAAATGTTTATTAACTATAAAAATAACATCTTGTAGTAAACAATTTCGCTATAGTATGGATTGACTATTTGTAGCTTTTTATTGTTAGTTAAATGGAACTATAATTGTTCACATTCTTAAAGGTCGAAGGGCAAGATTAATAATGCTGCTTTGAAGCAGAACCATAGACGCTAAAAAGTCATGTGCATTGTACCACCGGGACAGAATGTATTGATAGCTGGCCCATAGGGATCTGACTTGGGGTCATTGACATACAGACACTTACTTTTGGGCCAAAGCATGTAGGGAAAGGTTGCTTGATGCGTCTCATGTAATTGAAGGGTGCAACTCTGACTTTAAATAGAGAGCGCATAGGATTGCTACCTGATATAAAGATCTGCTTGATCACAGAGTATCCATTTTGATTTTTGGATGAAACATGATTATTTTATTGTATATAGTATTGATATTTTTGTTTCCCTGGTGTGTGTTGAGAGTGAATGTATTTATTGACGTGAATGTGTAGTGTAATAGGGCTGAAGGAGGAATATCGAGAACCCCATTGATTCCCAATTAGATAGTTATATAATAAATATAGAGTGTGATGGTGGAATATTACTACTTTAACTGAGAGAGAGTGTGGATTAGAGGCTTGATTGAGGCTGAAATGACCTAGCCCTGGATTCCCATCTCAGTGGGTGATTTATAAGAGGTCCGACACTGCCAACATCCGAGCTTGGTGATTCTTGAAGCCCGCCGGTGATTTATTGCAAATCACAAAAGCTGGATTGCCGGCGAACTGCAAGAAGTGATATCTCAGTTATGTACATATGTGTGCATGGGCAAATTTGAGCATATATAAATCAGAAATCAGTAATATTTATTTTAGAATTTTTCATTTGTCAAATGGTAAATATATGATTTATTTCTAACCATGATCTCATACAAATTACAAAAAAATAAAAAAATAATAACTACAATTACAATTAATTAAGGATTTTAATTGGGATAAAAAGTCAATGGCACGAATGGGATTCGAACCCACGATCTTCGGCTAGATATGCCACTGCTCTACGACTTGAGCTATCATGACCTCGATCCACTCGGACACTAACTTCCCATCCCAACCCCATCCTTCGTATTTTTGTAAAACGATATCGATATAAAAACATTTTATGCAATAGCCAAAACATAAAATTTTAAAGGCAATTTTATTTCATTTCATTAAAAAATCATTTAACTTACCAATTTTCAAATGGTTGCCATTTCAATGGCAAAAATGAGGGAAAACTCAAAAGGTGGGGTTGAGATGGGAAGTTGGTGTCAGAGTGGATCGAGGTCAAGTGGTACAGCAGTGGCGTATCTAGCCGAAGATCGTGGGTTCGAATCCCGCTTGTGCCATTGACTTTTTTATCTCAACTAAAAACCTTAATTAATTGTAATACATTAATTGGTCAAGCGGACCACAAAATTAGTGAATTTAATAACAACAATATTTTTTATTAAACTAATTAGTGCATTGACTGTTTTTTGTAGTTTTAGTGCTCATTAAAAACTTTAGTTTTGTCATTCTTAGCAGTGGAAGAGATCTTTATCCTATTGCTTTGATACCAACACGCAAATTAAACCCTTTGTTACTCTCAGATATGCATACATTTCTCTGTATAGTGTACATTTCTTGTCAGTTGATAATCAACAATTGAGTGAAATTTTCTCTTTGGGTCTGCTGGGCAATGAACTTGTAGTTTGTTCAAAATTTTCATTGGATTTATCATCAAGAAAATGCTACAGACTTATTTTACAACCTGATATTTGGCTGAAATATCACATAGATGCAAATAGTAAAAAGTAAAGTGATTTTTTTTAAAAAATATAAAAGCCCTTAAAGCCCAACTACTAGTTGAAATTGATGAGGGATCAGGACCACTTTGCAGCAGTTTTTTTCCCCAATGAAATAATTAGACTAAAAGGACCTGACATTTTCGTGAAATTTATCATCAAGAACTGTAGTGTTTTTTATTTTAGGATAAAAATATATAAAATTGGACTCTTGTGATTGAGCGGCTTAGCTGTCTTGATTATTCGCAGACTCGGTCATGGGTTTAGGTCCCAGAATTGTCCTTAGAATTGAGAAGCCAAATGAATTGAAGTTTTGTTATAGTATTTATTTTACCCATTATTCAGTTGCCAAACGCTAAAGATATAATTTACTTTTAACCACGATCTTATAAAAATTGCAAATTAACTGTTAATAACTATAAAATTGATAATAAACATTTTACTATAGTGAGCATTGACTATTTGTTGTTTTTTATTTCTTATTAAGAACTATATTTTTGAATTATTCTTAGAAGATATCTTTATCCTAATGTATTAGACTAACGGGCAAATTAAATAATTTTTTACCTTTAAATATGTCATTCATTCCCCTGTATAACATACACTTCTTATCAGTTGATAATTAACAATATTGTGAAATTTTCTCTTTGGGTCTGCTGGGCGGTGAAAGTGCATTTTATCATTTTTTATTGTTTTAATTTTCCTAACATTGCTGTTTTGTAAAAAAAAAATCAATTTATTGTTACTGACATTTTTTTCTTCAATAGGCTGTTTTATATATATTTTTTAAAAATATTCTTATTTGTTATGTTCCATAGACGGGAAAAACTGAAAAACAATTTTATAAAAATGTTTTTATTTAAATATAACAATTTTGTGGTGCTACCTTTACCTCTTCAGCTGATTTATACTTCAAAAGTATACAGTTTCATGGAGCACACACACTTTTTACGCAGATCCAGCACTGAAGATGGCGAGAAGCTGTAACGTGTCTGACAGACCAAATTGATCAGAAATGACCAAGTTTGATTTTTTTTATTACTCTTTTTTTTAATTTAGTTTTTGTCCAGTTTTTATGATGTTTATAGTCGTCAAATCTGAAAAGGAATTGTGGCACAGTTTGAAACATCAAAATAACTGAAAAAAATGTTTAAAAAAAACTTGTTCTGTATTCTATGAAAAAGAAAGAAATGAGTCTGAATAAATTAAGAATGAAGCTGAACAAGGTATTTCTTCAGATACATTCCTATATTGACCCTAATTTTGAAGGAGAGCAATGAATTTTAAATCCCAATAATTTTTTATGCAAATAAATGCTTTTCCTTACATAATGGATTAAAAGGAAAATATAGAGTTTAATTGCCAGGAAATCCTTTTATTCTTACAAAAATACATTGGGCGAGGCCACATATAATAAATGGCTTAAAGTCAACCTGGTGAGCCTATTTGGTTCAGTCAATTCAAGAATTCTCTACTCTTGGTTGATTAGAGTAGTTAGAATTTTTTATGAAAATACCATCTATTAATTTATTTCATTATAATTCTAATTAGTAGGTATTCGTAATAGTATTTATATAGAATTTAGAATGTTTGACATCATGGTTTAGAATATTTATTTTGTACTTATGGATAAATACTATATTGCTGTTGATACTAAAAATTCCTAAAAAAATTTGAAAATTTATTGACTTACAAATTTCACAGGTCCAGTGTGCTGTCTGTGGTGAACTTATGCCAGTATGTGATTATCAGAAATTTCATATGTCAAAACACAATTATCTGTGCTGGCTTAGTAACGAGGAACCGATGGTATTAGTCGAAATGTCAAATAAACTAACAATGTTCATACTAAATACTAACTTTTCAATTCTAGGATTTGGAGAATGAAGGTTCTGTTAGAAGGATTCTAAACAGGGTGAAAGTTCATATTCCAGATGCTGTTTTTAAATGTCCGCTCTGCATGGCGGCTAAAAAGAGCACAAAGGGCTACATGAGTCACATGCAGTTCTGCGGGAAAAGCAATGAGGTACGCTTGTCTTTACAACATTAGAAAAAAATTAAATTAAAATTTCAAACTGTTTTATAGGAAAAAAACGATATGATGGTTGATTGTGAAATATGCGGAAAGACGATGATGCCCGCCAGCCTGCACGCACACATTTACGTACATCATACCAAGCCTAAAAATAATCAGTCGTCAAAAAAAAAGTTTGTTACTATAAAACAAAAAAACAAGTAGTGTGTATAACAATAAGTGAATTTTTCTTTTAGGTCTGTAGCACCGGTATATGAAAGTGCTGTCGACCAATATGCAAATGATTCAGACTATAACAATGTGAGTATTGCTAAAAGAAACCTAGCTAATCCAGATGTAGTGCAATATAAATAAAACAATTCCTAGAAATTATGAATGATGGTTGGTGTGGAGTTCAAACCCTTTTAAAAAGGACCGAACTCCACACCCACCCCATCATTCATAATTTGTATTAATTTGCTAGTCAAAGCTGTAATGGATTATAACACAATAACATTACCTCCACTTACTTAAAATCTGCTAATAAACAAGTACTTTTGAATCTTTATTATAAATTGAGACTTTCATGCTCAAAAATTAATAAATCAATCTGGTTCAATTCGATATATATTGAGAAATTTCGAAAATATTAAGAACTGTTCAACTCTCTTACAACGTAAATGCCAAAAAACCATTTTAAATAATGAATTACATAAATTGTACAGTCAGAGATACAAAACGTTTTTATCAATTAAATTCACTAATTTTGTGGTCCGCTTCTCACTAATTAATACATTGCAATTAATTAAGGTTTTTAGTTGAGATGAAAAAAAGTTAATGGCACGAGCGGGATTCGAACCCACGATCTTCGGCTAGATACGCTGCTGCTGAGCTATCTTGACTTCGATCCACTCTGACATCAACTTCCTATCTCAACCCCACCTTATGAGTTTTCCCTCCTTTTTGCCATTTTTTTCATCTCAACTAAAAACCTTAATTAATTGTAATGTATTAATTGGTCAAGCGGACCACGAAATTAGTGAATTTAATGGATTAAATGAACTATACTTCACTAAAGCTCTCCGAGGCCATTTCATTGGTCGTTGAGAATCCAATCCGATTACACGACATTTGAAAAATGGCAAAAAGGAGGGAAAATTCATAAGGTGGGGTTGAGATAGGAAGTTGATGTCCGAGTGGATCGAGGTCACGATAGCTCAAGTGTTAGAGCAGCGGCGTATCTAGCCGAAGATCGTGGGTTCGAATCCCGCTCGTGCCATTGACTTTTTTTCATCTCAACTAAAAACCTTAATTAATTGTTTTTATCAATATATTGTACACATTAGCTTGCATCATTATTGTCTCCAGTAGAATGGGACGAATTCGATTATGATACGCGATCAAAAATTAAATTTATCATTGATAAAAAACAAAATATATTAGATAAAAAAACTGAAAACTTAAAATACGGTACGCTTAAAAATAAAAATACCCATAAAGACCCAAAAACTCCAGTTCAATTTTACCCAAGGTTTAATCTAACAAACATGGTACTAATTTTTTTTTTTTAATTTATTTGTTACCTATACAGAATTGTATACTATACAAATATGTACACGTGAATGATAAATCACACAGCACAGCACTAGCACTAATGCCAGCACTGCACCGGTAGAACACATGCTTTGAGGAGCCAGCCATTGCTGGCACTCAGTGTGTATGATTAAGGGTCAAGGAGGTCCTGAGGCCATCGTCGGTTGAGGCGACGTGGTGGGTTGTCAGGATGGGAATGAGTGGATAGGGCTCGAGCAGTATGGTTAGGATGGTTCGAAAGGTTGGCATGGAAGGTTTGGAGTCTGGACTTAGTTCGTTGGCAAAAGGAATGTTGAGGTCTTTGTGGATAGTGAGGTTAGTGACATAATAAGGTGCTTTGACAATTTGTCTAAGGACTTTCGATCGGAAGGACTGGATGCGCTGGATATTGGAAGGCTTGGCAGTGCCCCACAGTTCTACTCCATATGTCCAAATTGGTCTTAGTAAAGCCTTGTACAGCGTTAGTTTTGTCTTAATTGTCAAAGTCGATTTCGGTCTTAAAAGTCTTCGTAGTAGTCCAAGTCTTCTATTAAGTTTTTTTTTTTTTAAGTCTTGTGTGGGGATTCCATATCAGTCTGCTGTCGAGTTATAGTCCCAAGTTGACTTGAGTGAAAACTGGTATCTCTTTGTTGTTGATGTACAATGGAGGGCAAGACTGCTTTTTCAGCGTAAAAGTACACTGAGTGCATTTTTCTTCGTTCAGTCTTGTCCTCCATTTTTTACACCAGTCTTCGATAAGCTCAAGGTGTTCTTGGATGTTGGAGGTAGCTTGGACAGGATTCGAGTTACAGGATAAGATTGCGGTGTGGTCATAATAGTGTCAGGATTGTTGGTAGGTACTAAATAAAGAAGAAAACGATTTATTAAACAAAGGCTTAAAATTTGTCCCTAAAACAGAATTGGATACAAAAAAAACTACTATCCCTTGGTCCATCGGTAGATTGTTGTAACATAAATACAAATATAAAATATAAATGTACTGAAATAATTAAACAAAACTTGGTAAATCAACATAAAAAAATTAAATATCCCATGTACACTTAGGTCTATTGATAAAAAGTAAAAAAGTAACAACAACCTTATTTTAAAAGCCGATAAAGGAAATAGTATAGTTATCCTTGAACATCAAAATTATGTTTCTAAAGTTGAGGAATTCCTAAATAATAACGAGTGTAAAGAAATAAAAAAGATTCCACCTTAAAATTAAAAACTAGAGTTTAAACAACCATAAAAATTAGTGATTTTTTATTCTCAGATGACCACTATGCAGTTAAAAAACTAATACCAATGAACCCGCAACCCCAATGTTATACGGTACAGTCAAAATTCACAAGGAAAACAAACCTATAAGACCAGTAGTGTCCTTTTATAATTCCCCATGCCATAAACTTGCCAGTACAATTGACTGAATTGAATTAAAACCCACACCAATTTCAAACCTACGTTCGGTATTAACAATTCTTTAGAATTGATAAAATAATTAAATAACATCAATATACCCAAGAACTGTGTTTTAGTGTCATTTGACATTACTAATTTATTCACAAATATCCCCGTTGAAGGATGTACTAAACTCATAAAACAAAAATTGACCGAGAATTCTATTAACGAATTTGTAAAAAATGATATAATAGTCCTCTTAAATATATGCCTACTATCTAATTATTGTAAATTTAATAATAAATTTTACGAAATGAAAGGGTTACCAATGGGGTCTCCATTATCCCCACTTTGTGCCGAAATATTCATGGATAATTTCTAAAAAAAAACCTTTTCCAATTGAACAACAAATTAATTAAATCTGTTCATTTTTGGAAACGCTAGGTAGACGATATTTTATGCATATGGTCGGGAACATTAAAGGATCTCAAAGAATTCCTCCTACTAATTAATTCTCTACATCACAATATAAATTTTACATTAGAAATTAACAAAGATGGTTGTTTGAACTTTTTAGGCCTAAAATTGTCCCTAATAAACAACCTAATAGAAATAGACTTATATAGAAAACCCACAACTACATACACTACGATTCCAGCGGATTCTTCCCACCCATGGTCTCAAAAGGCCGCTGGTTTCATTTGGCTCATAAACAATTCTTTGTTTAAATTTTATTATTCTGTTATTTGATTTTAAAACTGATAATAAACATGGTGTATAATGATTTTTAAGGGTTGAATAATATTTCAGTTTTCTGAGAAGCTCAATTAATGAGGAAATTATTTTGTTTATGGTTGTGAAATAGTTCATAAAATATTTATAGTGAACCTGTAGATTGACTATTTACAACCATTTTCAGTCTGTCTAATCTTACTATTTTGGTCTGTTAGATATGTTTAGGCTTGTCGCCATCGTCACTGGTGGATTATTTTGTAATTTTTGTTAGAACTTATTGGTTTTTAATTGAATCTAGCTTTGTTCGAATAATTCAAGACTTTACTGCAGGTTGATAAATCTTTAGGGAAAAAATAAATAAAAATTATAAAAAAATCCATGTTGAATTGTAAGATTTTTCTTCAGGTTTGCAGGGTATCAAAAAAAAAAAAAAAAAAATCACAACCAATTATGACAGAAATTTGAAAAACCATCTGACAGACCAAAACGGCTAGGATAGGGAGACCAAAAATGATGGGATGTGAACAAACCATTAATGTTTATAATATACTGGCTTGTAAAATAAGTCTCTAGCCTTATCGACAATTCAATTTATCCCCGTTCTGTTTTGAAGCAGTGTTTATTTATCATAGTTTGCACAATCTGAAAAGGGATTAGTTGAGATGTTTTTATTCAGCATTATTGTTTGAGATATTGTATATTTACAAGGTAATGTAAACTGTAGGAAAAATTTTCATTTTCATCATTTTAATGGTTTATCATACAATGGTTTGGTACCAAAGGAAAACCTCTGTTCCTCAACTGTAAGTGAAATTTGTGATGTGTATGTTGATGACGCACTGCCTTTAAGTGGTTTACTTGGTTCAGAAGCAGAAATTTTAATTTGTAACATGTTATGGCCGTCCTTCATTGGCGACCAAATTCAAGTTTTTAGCCCACACTCAATGACACCAGACATCGCCAAGACAACATATATCTCGTTTCAACATATCTGAGAGCACCTGGGTCATTTATCAGAGCGATATAGCGATTCTTCACATGTTGACTGAGAATTTGTTGGACAGTATCTTTAACTGCAATTCGATTCTAAAACACAATGTAAACAACCCATTTTAAAAAAACATTGTTAACAGGGGATGAAAAATGAATTGTTACAGTCCTTGACAGTGTTGGGACTTAGGCTCTGCTCAAATATTGAAACAAGCTATTAAAAACTTAATTATGTCAATTTGTAGACATCTTTAAAATTGCTTTTCTCTGATGTCTTTAAAATGGGTCAAAACATTGTGCATCTGGTGGAACTGCTATGCTTTATTATGAGCTTCCTCCAAATCAATTACCGTTAATTCTAATGTGTACAGCATTAATTGAAGCAATAAAGTTAGCAATTGGCCAAAAATGACCATGATCAATTGCAAGAGGATTGTTTTCCTACAATAATGCTTGCTTCCATGCGTCTTCGCAGAATTGCCAGAGATTTTTGGGGCTGGGATGTGCTACACCACTCAGTGTTCGCCTGATTGCCCATTCAGATTTTTGTTTTCACCATCAAAAAATGCTACAGACTTTACAACTGCTACATTTTACAACCTGATATTTTACTGAAACATAACAGAAATACAAATAGTAAAAAGTAAAATAATTTTTTTTAAATATATAAAAAGCCCTGAAGTTAACTACCGGTTGAAATTGATGAGGCGGCAGGAACATTTTGCAGTAGTTTTTTTTTATCTCTCCAATATAGTAATTTGATTATAAGGACCTGTAATTTATCACCAAGAAACACTACAGGCTTATTTTATGATAAAAATAGATAAAATTGTATTGAGTAGACTTGACTGTCAACGTTTTGATTATTCACAGATTTCTTCAAGCGTTCCCAGTCCCAGAACAGTCCTTAAATTTTTCTAGTCACTCATCAATGACAAATTTGGCACAGAAAAGAAAAAGTAATGAAAGGTGGTCAATTGAGGATCAAAATAAAAACATTCCTAACAAATAAGTTTGCAGGTTTACAGTTATTCAAGTTCTTTGTATTTTTATAATTTTTTTTATTTTTAAATTAGCCAGAACAGATTATTGTATGTAATATATTTATGATTTGGGTGAAGGGGGTGTGAAAAAATGCCAGGGGCGATGGTGGGCATTGAACCCAAAATTATGGGGTCTACGAGCCGAGAGTATAATGTGCTGACCATTTCAGTACCATTGCCTCTAGTGTAGTCTTGGTGTTCTTATTAAAACCACAACAATGAGCTTATTTTTAATACCACTGTGGTTCATTGTATTATTTTTTAAATTTGTTTTGTTTCTTTTTTTTAGCCTATTGTATGTCCTCATTGTTTCTTGATGATGCCAAGTGAAGAAGAGATGCTCAATCATTGTCGAAATGACCATGGTGACAGCACACTTCCTCTGCTGCTTAGCACCAACTCCAACGCTCCATCTGAAACCGGTATGCTGTATAAAAGTGAATAAATTTAAGTACTCTGACCACGTTGATTTTTCAGGCTTATCGTACGTACCTTTTCTCAAAATTGAAGAGAATTTGCTTGCAAGGCCAAAAATCCCACTGAGATTCTTCGTTCCTGCCCTGAAGCTGACAAGAGAACAGTGAGTAATTAATAGCTTAAGTGTCTCTGCGCTGGTTCAAAATGAGTTCACAGACTCATAGACAAAAACCCGTCATCGACTCTTATATTCTAGTTGTAAAAATGTGTATAATTTTAGCCGCTCGTTAAATCTTTCAACCAAGAAGCTTTTCCCAGAGTATGACATAGAACTGGAAGAGTGGAATTGTAAGACGGAAGAAGAGTGTCGTGAGTATTTACAGACTGAAGAGTATTCCATGAGAGTTGCTTGCAATAGTAACGAGTGGTTTAACATGTACCTGTTCGAAACGAAACTTTTTAAAGGTGATTTAATACGGCAAAGCATCCACACTTGTGATCGAGTTTGTAATTTAGTTGTCGTATTGTAGACAATGTGTTATTACTTTATTGCGGTGGCCCTATACTCGACCTGGCTTGGGCACCGGGACTTCACAGACAGTTCCTAGCCGTTTCCACCCATCTAGCAATGGAGGATAATCTTGCAGTTAAATCTGTTTATAAAGGTTCTGGCAATATTCAAATTTGGTCCGTAGGAAAAACCAATAATTCATTGTAATGTTTCTTTTTTTTTTTAATTAAGTAATTTATCAAAAAACAAAAATTACATGATTTTTCTTTTAGATCTTACTCCCTCTGTGGCGCTAGGCTGGAGTATATCGTTTGCCATGATGAGGGTGTCTGCTGGGGGTTAGAATGGTGTCCATCGGGATGTCAAGATGACCTCAGAATGGGTCTACTAGCATTGGCAACATCTAATGGTTCTGTGCCTATTTATTCGATTCCTCTGCCTTGTAAATTGGAAGAACAAGACAGCAGGTAGTCTATTAAAATTATCAACTTACACAATATTTTTTAAATAATATATTTATCTTATTTAGCATTTTGCCTATATGCAAGCCAAAGCCGATCGTAAGACTAGTATTCAGTTCTCAAGAGCAAGTCCAATGTACCAAAATCGCATGGTCGCCAGTGAAACCACATCGGTGCAGTGAGTAATGATTTTTTTAAAAGTGCAAAAATTAATTTATTTTTTATTTTTAGAATTGTCGGAGCTGGTTATGTGAACGGTTTGCTTGCTTTCTGGGACATCTCGAGTACTTCATTTTTACTCAGGAAAGGCAGAACGCTCCTCCCTTTCAAAACCTTCCAAGCACATCATGCAATCATCTCAGGTATGTTTAAAAAAATCCCTGCAGCGAACCTGAAATTTCCATGGTTGTGATGTAGCATCCCTCCCTCAGGTGCACCTCGGTGATCCCTTTAAACAAGGCCCTACTGCGTTTCAAAGTATTAATAATGATTGCTTTCATAATAGTAATAAAATGAAGCCATACTTTGAAATGGAGTGGAAAATTGAATATTTATATCATTAATTTAATAATCATTCCAAGGTTACAAAAATAGGTCGATGGTAGCAAAAATATGAAAAAATCAACTAGTTTGTTACGGCTCTAATTTGCAAAGACACTGCTGAAATAAGCAAAATATTTTGTTACAGTTTGAGATCTATTTAGGGTTTTAAATGTTTGTTCAATTAAAATTTTTTCTAACTGTTAATAAATTTATAAAAAATATTATGGGAAGGTAGTACATAAATGTGTGGTGATTAGTGACCGTTAATCGATGATTATTCAGGTGTTGTTTCCCTCAGCCAAGGAGCTTTTATTTGATCAACATTTTCTTGGACATTCATAGACTGCAATTTCCATAAATACACAAAAATAAACAACTTCGAATCTGAATATTTACACGAAATAAAGCTTTATTAGGTCTTAGTGTCTCATAAAACCATTTATGCATTTTAATAAATAAATAAAATTTATATGTGTGGTGATTAGTGACCGTTAATCGAAAAAGGTGGGGTTGAGATGGGAAGTTAGTTGCCGAGTGGATCGAAGTCACAATAGCTCAAGTGGTAGAGCAGCGGCGTATCTAGCCAAAGATCGTGGGTTTGAATCCCGCTCGTGACACTGACTTTTTTATCTCAACTAAAAACCTTATTTAATTGAAATATATTAATTGGTCAGGCGGACCACTAAAACTAGTGAATTCTTTACTTTAAAATATAAATTTTATTTATTCACAAATCGTGAGATGCGGTCTGGTGTAATGTAGGTTTCAGAAAAACATTTTCTTTATCGTGCCAACGTTTCGATCTTTTATTGAGATCATCTTCAGGGCCTGGGATTTACAAACAATGTTTACATTTAACAAATACATTTAGGATGTGGATAAGTGAATTTATACAATGCAAAATATATTTTATATTCAAACAAAGTATTTCTACTCACTCAAAGTGTTTGTTTTCTGTGTAATTGTGCCATTCTTGCTTGTTGTGTTGAGAGTGCCAGTGCCACGGTCTATCACATAAACTAAATACATTTCTCTCATACGATAACTTTAAAATAACTTTCAAAAACTATAAAACAAGCAAACACTAAATTCCAAAATTGAAGATCCCAGACCAATAACAAATAAATCTGACGTAATCTACAAGATCAACTGTTTAAACTGTCCGGCAACTTACATTGGTCTTACATCCCAATATCTGGATAAGAGAGTAAAGCAACATATCTATGATTGCAAAAAATCCAAGCAAAATCGTACAGCACTCGCTACCCACCATTTTGAACACAAACACAATTTCGACTTCAACAATTCAAAAATATTACACACAGAACAAAACAGACATAAACGTAATTTCTTAGAAATGGCTTATATCAACAGAGATAAACACAGCATTAATTACAGAACAGATACATGTAAACTCAGTCGCAGCTACACCAATATCATTAATCAAATTCAATACAGATAACATACATATATCATCACATTACATTCCACACAGCAAATATTTTTCACATAGTCTAATTTCCCAACAATTTAGTTTTCCTTTTCCTATTTATCCCTTTCTATGTAATCCTGAAAGAATAATCTGGCCGAACATATTTTTTCCCTTCGTCGGCTCTTTTCACCTCAAAGAAGCCGACGCCTTATACAAAAATGTCTTTTCTATACCGACTTCCTTCCCCACCCCTTCAAAATCCAACGTATATAAACATAAAACAGCAAAATCTCACTGGCCCTCTCAATATGACACGCAAGAATGGCACAATTACACAGAAGACAAACACTTTGAGTGAGTAGAAATACTGTGATTGAACATAAAATATATTTTTTTTTGTATTGCACAAGTTCACGTTTTCCTACATGTATTTGTTAAATTTAAGCAATGTTTGTAAATCCCAAGACCTGAAGATGATCTCAATAACGTTGGCACAATAAAGAAAATGTTTTTCTGAAACCTACATCACACCAGACCGCATCTCATGATTTCTGAATAATTATTGTAATAGTTCAATGAGTTAGTTTTGAATATGTTCATGTCCAATCTCATATACTATCTTTCCAAATGTTATAAAATATTTCTTACAATTTATTCTAAAATTTTTGCGCTGTAAATACATAAAATCATGCATTATCTATGTTTGTTTAGTGTCGTAGAAAGTTTTTAGCGGTAAAAATAATGTGCATTTTTTCGTGTGAGGAGAATTCTGTTGTTTAGTTTTTCTGCACATGCTTGCATTAATGGTTTGCTATGGGGCTCTACATGAATAATATGAAGAATTTTTCTTTTAATATAATAATGATGTGAATCTGAATCAAATAGATTTTCTTTTTTTATTTGTCTTTCCCAAAAAACCAAAAAAAAAACTCGAACAAAAATCAAAATTTTTTAAAATTCTTCCATATGTTTCTACGTTATATTTTGCATTGTATAAATTCACTTTTCCACATCCAAAATGTAATTGTTATATGTAAACAGTGTTTGTAAATCCCAGGCCCTGAAGATGATCTCAATAAAGATCGAAACGTTGGCACGATAAAGAAAATGTTTTCCTAAAACCTACATCACACCAGACCGCATCTCACGATTTCTGAATAATCATCGACTAACGGTCACTAATCACCACACAAATCATTCAAAGGTTACAAAAATAGGCCAATGGTAGCAAAAATATGAAAAAAAATCAACTAATTAGTTGCGGCTCTATTTTGTAAAGACACTCCTGAAATAATATTTTGTTACAGTTTGAAATCTATTTAGGTTTTTTAAATGTTTGTTGAATTAAAATGTTGCTAAAAAATGAACTTTTTTACATTTTTGGGTATCACGTTTGTATACGCAGAAGGTCAGGTTAGGCAAACCTGCAATATCTGTTCTTTACCCCTATGCCTACCAATATATTATGAAAAAATCAACTAATTGTATATTTCTAATTTCTAACTGTTAAAAAATTTACAAAAAATATTATGGGAAGGTAGTGGATAAAGGAATAAAATGTATATTTACTCAAAATTTATTATTTACATATCAACTTTATTTCTGATAATTCACATCCTTAGCTAATCTTAAATAATTAGTAATCCGTTTTTCCAGTGTTTTGTCCGAATTACCCCCTTATCCCAGCGAAATAATGAAAAACTCGCATAATAATAGTATTATTTTTTTTAGGGCTATGCTTTAGTCCGACTAATGATCACTATGTAGTTAGTAGTGGACATGATAAATGGTTTAAATTTTGGGATTTGCACGACACAACTTCGCCACAAAATGCTACTCGAAGGTATTTTGCGACCGACATCGCTTGGTTACACCATTGGATGACATGTGCTGCTTCAATTGACAGTGTATACTCGTAAGTTAAAATGTATTGATATAATAATAAATAAAAACTTAAACTATGTATTTTTTTTAGAGCTGGAGATACTACATTGTCGTTAACCTCTCTAAGGAGTTTTATTTATGAGCCGTGCTCCTTTGTTTCAAATGTAGATTCTTCGGCTTTGGTAAAGCAAAAAATGAAGTATATTTTTAAAGTATGTTTATTATTATTATTGAAATTGTAGAGTGTAGCTTGCAACGACTGGTTGAACAGTATACTCATGGCTTATGACAATGGTCAAGTCAATTTGATATTTGGGCAAAAACAGTTAATGAACCATGTCGAAGATCGTAAAAAGTACATCAAGGTTAGTCTTTTTCTTTAATTTTTAAATTTCTAAAATTTACGTTAACTATTTACATCTTAGGTTTTAATTGAACCACATTTATTTGATTTTGAAACCGAGGATTATGTGCCGAAGCCTAAAAAAGGAGAGGTACAATCTTACCGTTCTAACATAAAAGACTGCAACTCTTATGATGAAGTGGCTCAAAAATATGGAATCGATTTTAAAATGGTAAATATACGCAAAATAATATTTGAATACGGATTTTTAATGTTATCTTTCAAATTATAGGATTTGGAAGTTGATTTCAAAAACAAACTAAAAGGAAATGCTTCTAATATGTACGGCGTTTATCCTGTTCACACTGCGAACAAAGTAAGTCATATTATCTGGGTCTTAGGGCTGTGACACATGTTGTGGTTTTGACCGAAGCGTTTAACGAGGCGGATTTTTTGTAGCTGACAGACACTGCAGTTTCACTAGCAGTAGTGTGTCGGTTACTTCAAAGGAGCAGACCATTCTCGTTCGTTTCATTTTCCTGTGTTGTCAATTATTCTAGCGCGCTATATTTTATTATTGTTTATTGAAGAGTTGAAAAACAAGTGCTTCTTCTCTCCCTGTTATATTACCAGTGGATAAAATATATGAAAAATGGTTGAATACGATTTCACCCGATTGTAGAAAAAGAAAAAAGAGCACTTCAGTAATTTGTCCTTGTAATTGTGGAAAAATATAATATAAAATATCGGGAGAAAATTTCAAAAGGTATAAGGATAGGATCGGATTGACTCTCAATATAATGGCAAGGCTGATGGTGATTCATTGGACATAGGCTCAACATGGAATATCTGCAAAAAATTGGAGTGACTTGTTTCACTGCCCTGTGATTCTGCCCTCTAAGGACCTTTTTCAAATATTGTAAACAAGAAGTCAAATAGAATGGCAAATTGAATATTCTGTCTCAGATAAGGGAATGGCCTATAAAACATTATTTCCACTTGTGAAAATAAAACTGTGGTTGGCAACATGGCAAAAAAAAAGGCATAACCACCATTGGTTAAGAACAAACCATGGCATCTACGCAGTGTATCTTCACAAGATTGGCCTAATTGTGACACATGGAGAGTAAAGGAGGACCTAACACACATAATGTTTCACCGCCAAAAATAAATTTTACCATGATCTGGAGAAAGAAGGAGTAGAACACCCAATTACGGAAAGTTGAGCTCAATTCAAGAATCCCAGTGTGTATAACTTGATAATAAAATTTTTAAATGATGTGTCTGTGAAAATATAATTTGAACTGTTTAAAAAATATTCTTTGTAACATGGTTGTGTAATTGTTTGATGCAAAAAAAAATTTATAAATAAGATATAATATGATGTAAAAATAAATAAATTCTATATTCCATGTAATGCGATAGTGGTTCATGCAGAAAATAAATAAATTAAAAAAAAAAAAAATGCAAGATAAAACAAAATCGAAAACAGATGGGTTTATGCCTGGTCGGACACAAAACAGATATGTGGGATGGTTCATGCAATACTACACAACCTTTTCCCAGAAATACACTTTTAAATCCAACTCTGGGGGTCATCTTGTCAACCCACCGACTCGGTTTCAAAACCGCCAAGCGATGTGCACCGCACCATCTCGCCCTCTCTCAAGAAAGAAACGACCCACCAAATCGGTTTTCCTCTCAGTAAACGCTTAAGTCAAAACCGCTATGTGTGTCATAGGCCTTAAAATAAGTCTGTAGCGTTTTTTTGGTGGTAGTTGCAAACAAATTTAATGAACTGGTTTGTCCCATGAACGGACAGCAATACTTCAGGAGGTTATCTTACATGCCAAATTGTCCATAGTCTGATTCTCAATTATGTATATTCAGCGTATTTCACTTTTCAGGTTACTTCAACCTTAAACAACTTTTTCCCACAAAGCCCCTGTACCTCAAATTATTAATACTATTGTAAATTTTATTACATCTATGGAAGGAGCATTCAAAATCTTGTAAGATTAATTTTTTAAATTTTATTATTATTTTTATTGCAACCTTAAGTAAATAAAGTTCAAAAACAGTTAAAACGTACACTTTTACAATTTTCCAAACTACTTGTCTAAAGTTTAAGTAAGATGAAAGTAATACAAAAAACAAAAAAGACTATTTGTACATAAGAAAAAACGACAATCTAGGATTTTTGATGAACTGCATATTGGGAACTCGTAAAAATGCAGTCTATTCTTTCTCTGTCACAACTAAGGATGAGCTCATAGAAAAGATTCAGTAATTCTGTGCTTTTATGAGAGTAGAGAAGCAAGATGAACTCTCAAGAGCAGTAAAATTGGTCAGGAAACTATGTAACACTTAATTTTTAGCAGGTAGACATTTAATTTTTAAAAGCTTTCAGTACTTTCTGATGTTTAAATTTGCACCAATCTTTGAAAAAAAGTCAAAATCTTAATAATTTTTTGAACCATTTGCAGCAAAATCAAAATTTTAGCAAATAAACGTTAATTTTATATTGGTGATTACTGATCTTTGAGAAAATAAGTACATTTATTTTAAGCTCATTAATAGGGGCAACTTTTCTGTAAGTACCATATCTGCCAGTAATTACATAACTAGGAAAATCTTACTTAAAGTTTAGACAAGAACTTTTGAAAAAAACTGAAAAATGAAATATTTCTAATATAATTGAGAGTCAGACTTTTTAGTGTCATTTGACATTTTGGATCATCTCCCAAAGCCACGGGTCACCCTGTAATGAACATATTGTTCCACTACCTGTTGTAATTGTAATAATGACTAAATGCTTCAATACACTACAGGTATAAAATTGAATTTCTGGTGAACGCTACACATTTATTTTAAACCGAATATTAATCTTGGTTTGCCTTCATAACCATTTAATAATTTTGAATCGACAGGTTTGCTGGAATACCAACCCAGACGCATTTTTAAATTTGGCCGTCGGATATCAAAGCGGATTCGTCATTGTCCCGAAGTTGAAGCTATTACCTGTTGATGAAAAAAGTATGGAGAAGCTACTGCATAGTTAATACAAAAGACAAAGAGGTGCATTTTAAATGTTAGATCTACAATTTTTAATTTGTATAATGTGATAAAAAGTTTTTAACAATTTTATACAATATCTTTATAATTTATATTTAAAAAAAATATTAATTTTTTTTACAAATTTTCAATTGAGCAATTTTCAAAAATGTTTAAATTAGATTTCAAAAATGATATATACTGAATAAATTGTTTTGGCAGTACTATTCCAAGTCCATACCTTCCCAATTCCTTCGTCATTCAATTTATGTTGCAAATTTCAGAAACTGAAATAATAACATGTATGAATAAATTAAAAAGAAATTCAGCACCCGGAATAGATGGGATTACAGTTTCACTTATAACAAATACAGCATGGTGCTGGCCTGAAGAGAGAGGGAGGGAGCGAAGAAATAAGGAGAGAGGGAAAGACAACGGGAGAGAGTGACCGGTACCGGCGTGAAGACATAATTTTTTTGGAAAGCAGATTATTTACTCTTCTTCAGACATCCTTTAGTTCCAGGATCATACAAGAGGACTACGTATCACACATCAGAGACTAATATCGAAAATAGTGTTTCCACGACTTTGAAAACCATTTTTTTTTCTCTACAGGATCAGCACTAATGAGGCGAGATTATCCTTCAACATTGATTTGTCAACTTTCCCAAATTTAATTAACTTAAGATATTCAAAAAGGATAGTAATATAGTACATATACATAATATTTCGTGTGCACACACTAAGTACCTTTCTTTTGTATTTTGTATGTTAAGTTTTTTTGTTTTGTTTTGTTTAAAAAAAAAGAATTCAGAGAATTTTTTAATGAATCTTCCCTTCTGTCCAAAAAATAAATATCTATTAAGGGGGTACTATTACTTCCGGGAGTTATATATTTTAATATAAAAAAAAAACAACAAAAAAACTTCATTCTACTTGAGGAGTTGTCAATAATAATGACAAAGATTCTCTGAATTCTTTTTTTTTTAACAAAACAAAAAAACTTAAAATACAAAAGAAAGGTAATTAATGAGTGCACACGAAATATCACTATCCTTTTTGAATATCTTAAGATAATTAAATTTGGGAAAGATGACAAATTAATGTTGAAGGATAATCTTGCCTCTTACTGCTGATCCTGTAGAGAAAAAAAAATGGTTTTCGAAGTCGAGGAAACGCTATTTTCCATATTACTCTCTGATGTGTGATACGTAGTCCTCTTGTATGATCTTGGAACCCAAGGATGTCTGAAGAAGAGTAAATAATCTGCTTTCCAAAAAAATGATTCACGCCAGTACCGGTCATAACTCTTTCCCGTTGTCTTTCCCTCTCTCCTTATTTCTTTGCTCCCTCCCTCTCTCTTCGGGCCAGCGCCACGTTATTTGTTATACACTTCTAAAAAATGTGTTAAGTTTTGGCCAAGCCTCTAGTTCATTTATTTAACAGGTCTATAGAATAGAAATGGGCATTTTCTCAGATAAATTCCAAATTGCCACAGTTATATCAATATATACTGTTTTTCAGACAAATTAATAATTTTTTCAACCAATTTTATAATTGTCTCATTCATTTTAATAATTGTCTCAACCAATTTAATAATTGTCTCATTCAATTTAATAATTGTCTCAACCAATTTAAAAATTGTTTTATTCAATTTAACAATCTCCTCAACTAATTTAATGATTATCCCTTTTGGGGTATTATAATCAGGGAGAAAATAAATACAAGCTAGAAGTTGCGAAACCTTTATTTAAATTTTGAAAATGTAAAATTAATTCATAAAAAAAAAAAATATTTGAAAAATGATAACGATATTTTACGTGAGCTGTGTATGATGGGCTTTCATTACACAACACATTTCTAATTAAGGACAATCTCAGGATCCATAAAACTACTGATGTTAAAGAGGTTGTGGAATCATTTTCTCATATGATTACTTTCCTGCTGCCCTATTTGCTAACACTAAACCCTGAAGAGTATTCGTTCTCCAAGTTTAAGACTGAGAAGACCCTGCAACTTATTATTTCACTTAAGTTGTGAGTTCCTTTGGCTTCAACTCTGGAGATCAGGGAGACATAGATTTTTCCCTAGTTATCTCGATGTGAATGGTTTTTATTTGCATCTCTGTTACGAACATCGTAAACGTTTTAGTAAAGAAAAAATAGTTTTATACAGAAGGTAATCCCTGCTGTTCCGTTGTGGCTAAGTCTGTGGCTCCTGGGAGTCACCTGTCATCCCCTTGGTTGCACTCGATGACTAATCCCTACTCAGTAAAGAAAAAAAAAGAAAAGAAAGTTAAATGCCTTGGGACAATCATAGTCGATCAAATGCAACAAGCATGGAATTTTTAAGTCTAATCCATCTTATTTAAATTTGTTGATTAATGTCAGAATACAAACTTTCATAAAAAAGTCTTTATTTTTTAAAACAAGTATCGATTTTGAGGTACTGCTTGATGATATCCCTGATGATGGCTCCTATAACAAGCACTGCAATTGCTAATGTGTTCAGATAATTAAACTTCCCACTTGCTCCATGGAAAATATACCAGAATTCAATCCCTTATTTTCAAAGTTGGCTAGATGATAAAAACTACCACTTTTATTTCTATTTGCTTTCCTCTCATTGATTTCTGTTTACATTGCAAATCAGGAGGCGTATAGCTTTTATAAAATGTTAGATAAATAGCAGGTTTGAAAATGATACAGAAATAATCTTCCGAAAATTTATTTCTTTTGTAGAAATGTGCAATATTTAGTGGCCGTTTAATTAATGATTATTTAGAGATCGTGAGATGTGGCCTGGTGTGATGTAGGTTTATTAAAACATTTTCTTTATTGTCCCAACGTTTTGATCTTTATTGAGAGCATTTTCAGGGCCTGTGATTTATAAACATTTATACAAATAAACACAAGTTATGACTGAATTTATACATTGATGTACACAATACAGAAATTTTAGGTTTAATCAAAGTATTTGTACCCACTCAAAGTGCACTCCTTTCCTGTGTAGATGTGTCACTATTGTGTGTCATGTTGAGAGTGTTAGTGAGATATATTTTTTTTTGTTTATGTTTGATTTTGAAGGAGTGGGGAAAGAAGTAGGGATAGAAATTCATTTTTCTATGAGTCGGCTTCTTTGAGGTGAAAGGGTCTGACAATGGAAAAATGGTAATGATTTGTTGATCGGGGCTGGTTAGTCATTCAGAATTAATATAGGTGAGATTATTAGGGGAAGGACAGATGAATTGTCAGAGATTTAGACTATGTAGTATTGTTAGATGCGTGTTGTGTAATGATTGTTTTATATGTTGTATGATTTGTTTTGTTTTGTTATATGTATGTTATTGATATTGAATTTGATTTATGATATTAGAAGGGCTGCGACTGAGTTTCAATGTGTCTATTCTAATTGGTGCTGTTTATCCCTGTTGATGTAAACCATTTCTAAAACATGTGGTGATTAGTGACCGTTAGTCTATGATTATTCGGAAATCGTGAGATGCGGTCTGGTGTGATGTAGGTTTCAGAAAAACATTTTCTTTATCGTGCCAACGTTTCGATCTTTATTGAGATCATCTTCAGGGCCTGGGATTTACATTGTTTAAATTTAACAAATACATGTAGGATGTGGAAAAAAGTGAATTTATACAATTCAAAAAAATATTTTTTTATATTCAATCAAAGTATTTCTACTCACTCAAAGTGTTGTTTTCTGTGTAAGTGTGCCATTCTTGTGTGTCATGTTGAGAGTGCCAGTGAGATATTGCTGTTTTACTCTCAACACGACACGAAAGAATGGCACAATTACACAGAAAACAAACACTTTGAGTGAGTAGAAATACTTTGTTTGAATATAAAAAATAGATTTTGCATTGTATAAATTCACTTTTCACATCCTAAATGTATTTGTTAAATGTAAACAATGTTTATAAATCCCAGGCCCTGAAGATGATCTTAATAAAGATCGAAACGTTGGCACGATAAAGAAAATGTTTTTCTGAAACCTACGTCACACCAGACCGCATCTCACGATTTCCGAATAATCATAGACTAACAGTCACTAATCACCACACAGTAAAAGAAGTATTTTATTCACTAACAGATCCTTGTGGATCCCCCTATTAAAAAAAGGAAACAAACTGTAATTATTTCAATGTTTGAAAACTTATGCTGCAAAAACCGGCTTAATTTGTTTTTCCAATTGAGTATTTTATAGAGAATCATGTCTTGTTCTTAATAGTACTTTTCCAATTGTTTGTTGGAGGCCAATATTTTTACATTTGCTTACATTGCTAAAGCCTATTTAGAGAAATACTTTGGATTCGAATTCAGGTTCACTGAGATTCCACATAGTGATTTCATTATTATTATTATTTTTTAATATTTCAAATATGGTTTCTAATCAAATTTCCCTTCTTTTGCTGTCAAAAGTATGAATCATTTTTTTAAATAATTAAATATTTTGTCAACATAATTATAGGCATTTTTTACTCTAAGGAACATCAGTGTATTTAACTTATTGTTAGATATTATCAAAGCATGACTTATACATAAACAGTTAATAATTTCAAGAAAACAAGAAATAAATACAGTGGAATAATTGTCTGAAAACCTCTCGCCATTAGAATTTAGTGAGTATAGTGTTGACATTTTGCAGTCAAATTAATCATGTTTTCAACCAATTTAATAATCGTCTCATTCAATTTAATAATTGTCTCGGTAGTTTAACACCATCTTGGTACTGATCCTCAATCAGAGCAATATATGACAAAATATTGTGTGCAATGCCCAGGTCACAGATCACAGATTTTTTTTTTTTTTGTACAATTCAGTTTTTATTCTAGTTGTGCAACCGATCTCAGGAATGTCAAATTTCATGATAGGATAGGAATATGGAAGGGATATTAATTAAGATTATGTTTAAATTTAAATAAAGTTTTTGCAACTACTAGCTCGTATTTAGTTTTTCCCCCGACTGTAAATTTATTAAAATGGCTGAGACGATTATTAAATTGAAGAGACGATTATAAAATTGGTTAAAAAAATAATTAATTTGACTGAAAAATGCCAAAGCTAGATTGTAGTAATAGATCTTTAAATAA